ATTTTTCTTAGATTTTGTTAGGAGCACATTGGTGATTTATTTAAGTTACAGGGTTTTTTAAAAAATAAAAAGTCTGGGGGCGCCTGGGTGGCACAGTTGGTTAAGCGTCCGACTTCAGCCAGGTCACCATCTCGCGGTCCGTGAGTTCGAGCCCCGCGTCAGGCTCTGGGCTGATGGTTCGGAGCCTGGAGCCTGTTTCTGATTCTGTGTCTCCCTCTCTCTCTGCCCCTCCCCAGTTCATGCTCTGTCTCTCTCTGTCCCAAAAATAAATAAACGTTGAAAAAAAAATTTTTAAAATAAAAAGTCTGAATTATTCACATGAATCAAGAAGTTAAAGGGTTACCATATTGGAAGGGAACTTGGAGGCCAGCTAGGTAAGCCTTCTTCATTAAAATGTTTTTTTTGAATCAGATGACAATCTTTACCAAAGTGTATAGTAAATAATAACTAACAGCATTGTCAAATAAATTTCTTTGGGGCATGTCTTAATAAATAGTATGGTATGTAATTAACACATCTTTTTATGTGAATAGTGATTCTTAAAAATTAGTTGGTTTATTTAAGTGGAATAGGCATTTACTGTGAAAGTTACAATTGTTTAGTAGGTCAAGAAACATTATGACTGAATATCCCTCTCAAAAATTGGTGTCAAATTAATTAGTTTTTTTTGTATTTATGAAGTGCAAAATTAGGCATATTACTCATATGCTCTTATCATTGAACACTAGTTATACATACAAGCTGATGATGGCGAATAAATAATAGTAAAAAATAAAGCGTACTGTTTAATCAAATATTTTGAGTAATGAAAAACTATCATCTAGAACATTGCTTCATAACACTTTTCAGGTCATAAATTATTTTGAGAGTATGATAAAAGCCATGGATGCTATTCCCAGCAAATTGCACATACACACAATTGTACATGGGCTCATAGAAGATTTATGGACCTTTCAAAGGCTATCCTCAGACTTAGGATAAAAAATCCTGATCCAAAGTAAAGCAGAAATTACCAATTTTACCAATAATTTGATTTTAATATATAACTCTATATTTTTCATAAAATGATATTTCAATTTGGAGCTGAAAATTGCAATTTGATTTATAACTCTTACTGGCAACATGATGTGGCCATATAAACTCTTTGAATCTCAATGATCTCACTTGTAAATTGGAGATGATAATCATTATGTCACAAGATTACTATATTTCCTTTGATATATATCTAACACAGTGCCTGTCACAAGAAATATTTAATAAATGTTCATTTGCTCATTCATTCATTCATTTATTCATTTTTTGATTATTAATAAGATTACTCAAAATCTCTTGATTACTTTGTGGTTATGCAATTATGTTCAACAAAAATTTATCAAATGCTCATTTTGTACTAGGAGTTATGCTGAATGTACGCATAGATGACTAGGAAAGAATCATTGCTCCAGAGGTATTTATAGTACAGTGCCCTGTGAAGAGGAGAGTCTAATATACTGTAAGAGATATAAGAAATGAACATAAGATCATATGGGAGCCTGTAGGATAAAAGGAGTAGTGTAATGGATACTGAGGATTCATGGAAGGACCCATGGTGGAGATAATACTTAACTGGGGCCAATAATATTAATAAAATAAACTTTCTAATTGCTTACTGTATGTTGATTATTTTTCTGAATATCCCGTGTGTACAATCTAATTTGATCCTTAAAAAAAAAACCATGAATTATATATCTATTTCCTTTTTAAAACTACCCACTTAACAGATGTGGCCACCAGGCTAAAACAGAATGAACAACATTTCAAGAGACACACAGTACATTAGTGACTGAGTTTGAATTAGCTTTGGTTTCAACCCTGCATTCCTTAACAATCGGTTGAAGAGAATTGAAACAGCATTTCATTTAGGGGAATTATCTCCAGCGAGGCATAGAAACATGGAATTATTTGAATAACAAGAACTACACAAAATAACAATAATAACAATTTTAATTTTGTATACCTTTATTTCTGAGAGAGAGAGAGAGAGACAGTATGCACAGTGCACGTGCAAGCGGGGGAGGGGCAGAGAGACAGGGGGACAGAGGATCTGAGGAGAGCTCTGTGTTGACAGCAGAGAGCCCCAGGTGGGGCTGGAACTCAAGAACTGTGAGATCTTGACCTGAGCTGAAGTCAGACACTTAACCAACTGTGCCACCAAGGCGCCCCATCAATTATAACAATTATAAACACAAATTTTAATAATTGGCCAGACACAAGCAAGTGATAATCCCACATAATATAAAGATTAATTTGTTATATAAAAAATAAAAAGGGCAAGTAATCACAATTGAGTTATAAGTGTCTAATTTGTGGATTATAGTTCTAATCGGGCAGGAGCTAGTTTAGGTGTGGAAGATGACGCATCCAGGATTGGATAAGTTAGGACATCCAGGAGGAAGTTGGATATAGATGAGTTCTTAATCCAGAGATATAGTCAAAACTAGAGATAAACTATGGTTAACATTAAAGATAGCAACAAAAATCATTAGAGTATATAAAAACACCCAGTAATATAGAAGGAACATGGCATTGAACAGTGTTTATTTTGACCAAAAAACACCTATATTCCAAAAGATACAGATGTTAGCTTCTTATTCATTCTTTATAAATTAATTAAAAATTATTTTATATTGCCTGTTTGCAAACAAAATGTGATAAAAGTACAATCTATAGCTAAAGAAAGTTAAAGAAGTCTTGGTTGAAAGTAAAATTAATCAATTATCCTGTTTACTCAGTGCGACTATGTTCAATAAGAGAACCCTATAGACGAATTTACTGAAGTTCATATTAGAATAAGTACTAATTAAGGGGCACCTGGGTGGCTCAGTCAGTTAAGCATCTGACTTCAGCTCAGGTCCTGATCCTGTGGTCTGCAGTCCATGGGTTCGAGCTCCACATCAGGCTCTGTGCTGACAGCTCAGAGCCTGGAGCCTGTGTCAGATTCTGTGTCTCCCTCTCTCTGCCCCTTCCCCACTATACACACACTCTCTCTCTCAAAATAATAAATAAACAGTAAAAATTAAAAAAATAATAAATACTAATTAAAATAAAACAAAAACTTACAAAAAAAACTTCCCCCCCTCTTTTTTTTTTAATTTTGTGATTTGAGTATAGTTGACACACAATGTTACATTAGTTTAGGTTTGCAACATAGTGATTCAACTTCTCTATATGTTATGCTATGTTTGCCACAAGTGTAGTTACCATCTGTCACCACGCAACATTATTACAGTATCATCAACTATATTCCCTACCCTGTGTCTTTTATTCCTGTGCCTTATTCATTCCATAACTGGAAGCCTGTATTTCCCACTCCCCTTCACCCATTTTGCCCATCTTCCTCCCTCTTTCTTTCTGGCAAGTGTCAGTTTCTTTTCTGTATTGCTAGGTCTGATTCTGCTTTTTATTTGTCATATGAAACTCTCTGTGTTTTGGGGGGTGGGGGGAATTTAAACTAATCTGGGAGGAGATGATCGACAGCTTTTTTTGTTTTTGATCCTTTGTGCCCAAATTTCTCCAGATGATCCCACTGATATTCTTATTTATAAATCTCTTATGATAATTTTTAAATTTTAACTTATTTCTCAGAATATCTGAAGGTAATATCCTGAGGCTGAAATAAAGCTGGACTGTTTCCTGATAATATAGTCCCTTAGTAGAATGTTCTGTTTAGAAGACAGTTTTGTTAATAAGACTGCATTTCCCATCTTAATAGTTTAATTAAAGGTTAAAGGAGACCCCGTGAATAGAAAGTTTTGATTTTCCCATTGAATTTATTTTCAAACAATCTCAATATTATTATAGTCAACATCGTTGGAACATGAGAGGCATAGGTGACTTGTAGGAAGGCATTTTCTGTAATTACATAGTAGCCTCTCCAGACTTACTGATCATTTCAGATACATGTGTAGGTCCATTGACCACAAAGTTGCTGCACTGTTAAATGAACACATGTACAGTTATGAATCTTGGACGGGATCCACATGTAACCTCAAAAGAGATCAGAGAAGGCAATGAGAACATGACACATCATCCTGTCTTTAAGACTTTGGAAATGTCAGGGCAAGAGAGATGCATGTCTAAATGTGCCAGGAAGGGAAATCCAAATAATTGATCTTTTTTCCATTAAGTTTTGAGTTCTTAAAGCAAAATTCTCATACGATAAGTAGTTCACTTGTCACTCCACTATTGACTGGAGCCTTGTATGTTTGTGAATGTATAATTCACATGTCTGCAAATGTATGATTCTTCCTAGCCCTTTCAAAATTTTTATCTTTCAACTTTCAAGCTTTCCTATGGTTTTCATTGTTTAAACACAAGGATGGGGCGGGGGTGGGGGGAGATGGTTATTCCATTAGTGCATAAGAGAAGGCAGACCAAAGCCAGGTTAGAGAGATATTAAGCAAAGGCCAAGTCGAACTATTCATGAGCTTATTAAAATGGATAAATAAAAAATGAAGACCTCAACAGCAGGAATAAAGCCACTCTTATGAGAGAGATTGATATTTCAAATATGAGGTTGGCTGCAGAGGTAGTGTGGTAAGTACAATGCTATGTGCCCAGAAAACCCCAAATGCTAACTTATTGAAAACATGTTGAGTGCGCATTTATAATAGAAATAGTCAGCAATGCGGTTATGGGCAGTATTAAATATTCTAACTTGGAAACACTTTTAATAATGACACTCATTATCTTCTTGAGTCTTAATATAACTGAAAGTTGGTTGTATGTTTTAATTGTCAGCAAATAACCTACAGAATGTAACTTATCTGCAGCTTTGATTTTTGGCTATTCAACAACCTGATTATAGCACAATAAATTTGTGGCGAGACAAATGAATTGCAAAAAAAAAAATTGGAAGATAATTTGACTTTAAAAAATTATTTGATGCTTTAGACACAAAGCTAACTGCACCTTTAACCATTTCTTTCATTTATGTGTTTTTAATCTTTCTGCTGAAACAGTCCCCACTGAGATTCATGATTAGTGGAATATAATTCTAAGGGAAGAGGTCAGGGAGATTAATTTGTGTGGAACCATCTCACTGGAGATCTCGGTGGCAGAAATTCCAAGTTGAGAGGTAAGTTCACCCCCAAAGATCAAATGTTCTATTTCAGCTTTTTGGCCACGGAAAAGAAAGGGGGCTGTGCATAAAAAAAAAGAAACCAAAATATGTCACATGTGAGAAAGCTAGTAAGTTGATAGCTATTGCACTCTACCTGAGACTCTGAAAACCCCGAGAAAGTCTCTAAAGTCTCTTAATGATAGACAACAAGAAGAAACTGTAATAAGCTTAATTAGAAAATTTTATTTAAGCTTATATGTAAGAAATGTAAGAATGACAAGTAATCAACAACATGTATGAATAATAATATTTTATATATTTTATTTAAAGTGCCTGTTTATATAAGGTGCCTGTTGGTGTTTAGAGCTGGCTAGCATTATGTAAGCACACCTATTCTCTCTATCTACTTCCCTCACCCCCCAAAAAAGGAAGAAGATAAGAACTAAAGGCTTTCACACGTTAAGTTAAAGTTTCTTTTGTAGAAATGTAGAGATAAGTTTATTGAGTTTGGCTGATGAAGGATAAGGTTATAGATTGGAAGTATGTTACTAAGCTAGCTAACTAGTATAGTTTTATATATCACATTCTCTCCTTTACTACTAATTAATAGACTTTGTTCTGTTTCTTTATCATGTTGATATGTAGTCACTATAATTTATCCAGTAATAGATTTCTTTTGCCCTCTATCATTGCACATTATAAAACACTCTTGTGAAATTCACTGGCGTATAAGTAGAACTTAATTCTTTGGGTAATAACTTAAACTTTGGTATTTATATATTCAAATCAGTAGGTTTCCAATAACCTAGGTGATATTTAACCCACTAAATACCTATGGACGAGCATTTCTTTAGCATCCTGATCCATTAAATTTCACTTTATTTCAAATTTTAAGACTTTTCAGGTAAACAGTTCCTTATCTTTTATAACTTCTTTAAAAAAAAATTCCTGGGGCACCTGGGTGGCTCAGCCAGTTAAATATCCGACTCTTGATTTTGGCTCAGGTCATGATCTCATGGTTCCTGCGTTCAAGCTGGGCTCAGTGCTAAGTGTGGGGAGCCTGCCTGGGATTCTGTCTCCCTCTGTCTGCCCCTCCCCTGCTCATGCACACGTGCTCTCTCTCCCTCTCAAAATTAATGACGTGGTTTAAAAAAGTCTCAATGGTTCCAATTCCCATTTTGACCAGCAAGTTCTGTGTCTTATCTTTCCTCCATACTCAGGGTCTCCTGGTCATGAGGATACTTCATAGAGAAGTCTGAGCCCTGGACTATGCACAAGTGGAAAAGATCCCAAAGGCAAGAACAGCAACCCTCTCACCTAGTCAGCCGGCAGAGAAGATAGTAAATGGCAAATGAACACTGCAAAGAGAAAATAAAGAGGATACTCTCAACTCGTTTTACTTTAAATTCCTCTCAGCAAACCATAAAATTATAAAATTAAAAATTAAAAAAGGAAAATTGCAATTAAGGCTCCACAAACAGCTGAGTAATGTAAATATTTTAGGCAAAATGATTCCCAGAGATCCATTTAAGTGCATCAATTGGGTTGAATGGCTGTTTATTTGTAGTTTGTTTTCATGCAGCCTCTTAACTGAAAAATTGGAATGCATGGTTTGGAAGGAGAGAGACTCTTGTAAAATTTGGTATATGTTTGAATGTTACCAAATAAAGATACAAAGTTTTTTTGTTGTTATTTTTGTTAAGACATGAAGTCTGATTGCTCTTACACTGAAAGAGCCTCATTTATACAGACATAGTCAAAAATGGGTACAATCTATGTTTTTATAGCTATGTAGTCCTATACTTCAGCTTTATGTATAAACATATATAAACGTGTAGCTGTGTAAACACATAGCTCTGTCATATTCAGAATTTTTAAAAATTTATTGGGACTCCTTTGACAATTGTAAAGAACTTGAAAGTTAAATACATATAATAATGTTAGGTAGTAAGGTTTGGAGAGTACCGTTGCCATTATTAGGATAGACTATTAGGTTTTACTGAAACCATATTTCTCTAAAAATAGTAAGGAGAGTTTAAATTTAATTTAAATAATGTGTTAGCACCCAATAAATGTTACAAATAAACTTTTAGGAGAATTTCTCCTTGTATTACCCCTCGCCTCCTAAAAAACCTTAATTTTTAAATATTACTTTCATTTCTTCCTGAATGTTTTTCCTCTAAATTTGTCCATTTTGAAATAGGAGAGTCATTTCAGTGAAAGTGAAATTTCTGCATTATTTTCAAAAGATACTTAATCGCAAGAAAAGAAACACAAGTATAAAAGAAGCATGCCTGACTATCTTATGTTTGACTCATGCTCCTGGCTAGCATGGGGATGAGGCCAGTCACTAATCACTACACTCCTTAAAGCAGACCACAGCTATTGATTTTCATTATCTAGTATGGCATCTATTACTGTGCACAATTCTTAGATTTTAGAGGACACAGACTCCCAAGCAGAAAACTCTAACTTAAAAAAAAAAAAAACTCACTAACACCAATTAAAAGATGCAGAATCCAGATGATTTCAAATCTCAAAAGTATATATAATTTTTAATTTTTATATGTAATTTAATTTAATTTTAATTTATATTTAATTTTTATATTTTTTAAGTAATCAATTGAAATCATTGATCATAGATCTGTCTTAAAATAATATCATGACTTAAATCCTTACATTTTGGGGCCTCCTGAGAGGCTCAGTCTTCAAACGTCTGACTCTTGATTTCGGCTCAGATCGTGATCTTGTGGTTCCTGAGATCAAGCCCTGCATAGGGCTACATACTAACAGCATAGAGCCTGCTTGGTATTCTCTCCCTCTCTCTCTGGCCCTCCCCTGCGCACGTTCTCTCTCTCTCTCTCTCTCTCTCTCTCTCAAAATAAATAAACTTAAAAAATAAATCCTTACATTTTGTACATACATAATGATACTATTACCCACTAACCTAATTACAATATTTTAAACCTATTAATATACTCTTCACCCACTTTGCTCTTTTTCTCTTTTATGGGATTTGTTTTGTTTGCCTATTCTTAAAACATAACATGGTTTTAAGATAAAAGCACTGTATTTAGATGGCAATATTGCAATACATAAATGTATCAAATCAAGATGTTCTATACCTTAAAAAGCTATATTTAGCTCTTCAAGGAATCAACTACTGATTACTTACCATTTATGAAATAACTTGGACCTTGTTCCTACTTGGGAACAAGAAAATTACATAAGGTGCAGCTAGCACTACCATAGAGGAAATTATGAAGAGAATGAGTCTTAACAAAAGGAACACTCTTTTATATTAATTGCTAATTTTACTTTTTTAATTTTTTTTTCAACGTTTTTTTTTTTTTTTTTTTTTAAATTTATGGGACAGACAGAGACAGAGCATGAACGGGGGAGGGGCAGAGAGAGAGGGAGACACAGAATCCGAAACAGGCTCCAGGCTCCGAGCCATCAGCCCAGAGCCTGACGCGGAGCTCGAACTCCCGGACCGCGAGATCGTGACCTGGCTGAAGTCGGACGCCTAACCGACTGCACCACCCAGGCGCCCCTTAATTGCTAATTTTAAATGTAGGTCTATAATATTTTTTAGCAAAGAGCTAAGATACCGAGATGGCATCCTAAAAAACTCTTTGGGACAGCACGGCAAAATCTTTGGTTCTCAGTACGGTGTTCTGTGTGCAAGTTGGCTCTGCTTTAAGTTTAAAGAAAGACATCTGAATGACTTAAAGATTATAAATGCATGTTTAGCTTTAACGTTAATGACACCATTCTGATGAAGTAGGTGGGTAATGAATATGGATGTTTCGATTACACACTGCATATGTATAAAGTAAACGTGAATGCAGGGGTGAAGTTGTTGAGAACTCCTGCACACCCTGATAAATTCTGTTTTAAGTGGCTTTGTTCAACTGCCTACAAACTTATTTCATTCTGTCATCACCTCTGCGTTCTTTGATCCTACCTGACTGACATGCTAACGCTTGGAGAAAGGCGGAGAGATTTCAAACGGAGGAAAATGTACAATTTGATTTTCAAAAAGGCATTTAAAACGTATGCATCTTCTTGACCCATTATTAACTTTCAAAACATTATCTTTCATTAAAAATGGATGCCCAGTTTTGTATATTTATGGTACCTAATGAATAATAAAAAGCTATGACTCACTTAATAGACGTCATGCTAGACAATTTCAAATTAAAACCCCTGCAACACTCTGTGTCGGATAAGCCACAATGGAAGCAGAAAGATTCACAGTCTCCAGTACACCCTTGGCAGCTGCTGGTAAATGAGTTACCGGTAAAGTGCTGAGAGGTCATCTGGCTGGTTTCACGGAGAAGCATGCTGACCTAGACAATGTGCTACCCAGGGAGCCTCTTGACCTTATAGCTAAGATTGTTCACTTCAACTCTCTTAGGCAAAAATTTGTGGGACCAAACAGGCAGTATCAGTATGACTGTCCTATCTTAACTATTCTATGATGGCAATCAAGGTTTTCAAAGCACAGATGAAGGCAAAAGTGAGTATGATTATTCTTCCTCCTGCTGTAACTTTTGAACCAATGTCCTGGCACGATTTAATGTATGATATTCTGATATGAGTGCTCATTCTCTCTGGACAGGAGGGCAGTGGTGAAGGAAGCTATCTCCCGGCCTGACATCGTCGTGTGTGAGCCCTGCATGTTACCTGCCATTCTAACACCTTAAAGGATGCTTGATGGGCTACTGATGCCCCTGCCTTGCTCAAAATGTTTGCTGCCGCATGAAGCAGGAAGATACTGTGAAAGAAATGATTTCATAGAAAGAATATGAATTTCTCATCGAACTTAGTTATTGGGAGGGGGAACAACTATTTGCACAAATGAACTGGACAGTTAGGATTCTAATTTTATTTTGTGAATTCTAGTACCTTATTACTTTTTTTTTTTTCTAGTCCAAAGGTGCTTATTAACTCCCCAGATTTCGCAAACTATTATCTAGTGGATCAGTGATAATACACACCATAAAATATCATGGTCCCACATACTTATTTTCATTGAATTTGACTTTAAAAAAGCCATTTTCTAGTCTCCTTTTCCTGTCCTCCTTTGTCCTGTTTCCTACACCGGGTGATTTATACTTTAGTTATCTGATCAGGCCTGACTTTCTGTTGGAAGAATGAAGGTTAACAACATTTTCTCTCTTGTTTCTATCCTCTGTTACCAAATTTCATCTTTCAGTGGATGACACATCGACTTTTTGACTAATACAATGTTAAATGTAGAACTGCTGGATCTTCTATAATAACAAATGTTGTCTTGTTTTGGGGAAATATGAGAAAGAATTTGTGGAATAAATGAATACGAATTTTGAATGTTTACAGAAAAAAAGCTGTCTGAAGATGTGGGAAAATGACTAAAGAAGGAAAATATGAGGGGCCCTGTTGGCTTGGAGAGGTAGAAGAGATCTTGAAAAACAATTTGGATTTGATGTAAGGAACCATAATTTTCCAGCTGGTGCGGAAAGCATTATTCTTGAGTAATCGAAGCAAAAATATTTGCCAAAGGCATAAGGGAAGGTGCATTTATATTGAGCGAACGGGAAGAAGTGAGCAGTAATAAGAGTAAATGAGTAGATCTGAAGGTGAGACATCTCTTAATCCTTGGTTAGTGTCAGTCCAGACGCACGTCTGGGCTGGATCTTAGGAATCACTCTTATTTTTCCAGGGTGCCTAAACTTCCACTTCTTTTCAAGGGGCTGAGTCACGTCAACCCTGGTGATGACCAACCATATGCTCTATTCTCAGCCCTTCAATTTAGTTGTCAAATTATTAGACATACATAAGTAAACATTTAAATAAAAAGTACCATTAGAGGTTCATATTTTATGGACAAGAAATGGAAATACAGAGGGTTGAATGATTTTCCCAAGGCCACCTAGATGCAATTTTAATATCTAACTCTTTTGTACAATTTTATGCCTTACTACTCATTTGCAAGCACACACTCTTATGAGATCTATATCCACCCCCATGAAATATTATCTGAATGAGCACACACCTTTTGCAATGTCAGCAGATAGGCTTAAGGGCCAGAGCTGGATCATGGCAAGACACTGTCTAGTATAGCCCCAGCTCTTTTTACTACACTGTGTTTCCTCCCACACTCACAGCTTGAAAAAGCAGTGAGAAAAGGCTGACGGTAACAGATTTACTACTGCTATTAGTATAAGGTGAGAGTAACTAAATTATTTTTTTAGTGCAGCAATCATCTAGCACTATTATATGTGCTGTTCAATAGCAATATCAAGGATTTAATTCACTTTTAACAGAAATATTTTCAGCAGAAGTATGAAGAGTAGACTATAACTTAAATGAAAAGTGTATCACCCAATTATATTACCCAAAGTACCTATGGGGTCCTGTGTG